ATAATACAAGTTTTTGTACTTGAATTTAGATATTGCGACATTTAACGGTGGTGTTACATTTAACGGTAAGGGAAAAGAGTGCGACATTTAATGTTACATTAATTTTACGACATATAACGATAGACGATTTTGCGACATTTAGCGGCGGTTGCAACATTTAGCGACAATGGTGCGACATTTAGCGTCAAGTGCGACATTTAGCGGCGTTGCGACATATAACGGCAGTATTCAACCGCCTTTACATTCTGATCAGGTAAAACGTTTGAATAAAGAATAGGGTTGTTTTTGTTAATAATTTTCACCGTATAAACTGTTGAAATATTCTGTCAATATAACCTAAGAAGAATATGTTGGAATATTGAAGAATCTATGATTGGTATGGGGATGGAAGGGTAGGGTGGGACGCACCTTGCCCTTAAAAAACAACCTATAACTGCAATACTTTTATGTATAATACCGAAATATTTAGTCAAAATACAAAGTTACAAATGACCAAGTGTTTCTTTACTCATAATACATAACATACAATGTCATGAATATTTTGTTTATTATAGAAAAATACAAATGTGTCTTTTAGATGATCGATAGAAATTAAAAAAAAATCATAATTTCTATAAACTATAAAAGAAATCTTTACTACGCCTGTATATATAATAAAAGCATGAAAATTGACAAGTTAAATGTATGTATTCAAATGATTGAAAAATACCGTGTTTGGAAGACTCTTCTGTGTAAATATTAACAAATAAAAATCAATTACAGCAAGAGAGAAATCTGTATAAACATAAAAATTAATAGATCATTTGAAATAAACACACTGTTTTACAATTACGTTTTCCTTTTTACAGCATTCTAAAGATACCAATAGCTTCAACGAATTCAGATATGACAATATTTACCCAGTTTGTTGCAGTTAAATAATTCAATTTTTTTTTTGTGAATGTCGAGTATAGAAATCTATTTGGAATACTCGTACATACCACTTTGCATATTAACAAGTTAAAAAGAACATTGGACAAATAAGCATGTTATAATGAATAACACGTTAACTAACTGGGCAACAAAGCAACCTGTGTGTATTATATTTACTTTCGGGTAATAAGTTACACTTGTATTATTAGTTAAGACCTCAAATGCATTTTCCCGTGCATTATCACAGGCACGAGCGTCTACCTGAGTAGAACCATTGGCGTTCGGGAAGGTAGCTGGATAGCTTACTCACATGAAAGCAGTCCCTAACTGGATTTGAACCAATATTCGGACACGGGCGCTTCAAAACTTTCATATAATCTGAAATTAAAAGCATGGTTTATTATTAAAGTAATAAGATAGACTGACATTAAAAAATCTAACATCTTTACTTTTATGATATTGAATATTGTTTACCTTGCTTATGGAGAAAAAATCATTCATTTGTTGAATTCACATGTGACAAAATTCGTACAAAATAAGTATAAAATAAACAGTAAAGATATTTATTTCTTTAATTAGGTTTAATTGTGTGGTTTGTTGCCGGACATGTTGTAATGGTAAGTGATAAAAATATTTACTACCTTATTCAAAAATTACTACTCAATATTCTTATCAAATCTATATTTAAATGAAATATATAGTGCAATAATTTAACCAAACAGACGAGATCACTCTCTATGTTTTCGATGCTATACTTCATTTTTTGTTTAGATAAGTGTTATCAAAAATATCTTAAATTTGTTTTCACAGATTCAAGTATTTTAAAGAAATTCGATCTTGCATAATGTTTAGTGTGGTGAAGAATAGCCGGGCGCAGACCAAGATTTTGATTGTCTGTTTTCATTAAAGTTTATTAAAAGCATCTTTGTTACAATGTTGCATTTTTTGTTTTCAAACAAACGCTGAATTATGTCATAACACATTCGGAATAACTTTATACATTTGGACCATTTTATTAGAGTTGTTCAGAACAAGATATAACAGATAAATTAACCAAGTGCTTATCTATATCAACTAACGACCTCACTACACAGTCAGCCGAGGACGTGTTATCCTCATACTGCAAAAGGTGAGTACATATGAGCCGCGCCATTACAAAACCAACATAGTGCGTTTGCGACCAGCATGGATCCAGACCAGTCTGATCAGGATCCATGCTTTTCGCTTACAAACTGTTTTACAAGTAGAGAACAGCGTGGGTCCTGATCAGACTGCGCGGATGCGCAGGCTGGTCTGGATTCATGCTGGTCGCAAACCCATTATGTTGGTTTTGTCATGGTGCGGCTCATATCTATCTGGCGGTAATTAAAAGCTGAATTAATCGGATTTGAGTATGTATGTATCACATGCGACTATAATCTTAATTTACACCTCTTCAAAAATGCATTTTTGTCTGAGAAAAAGTCTAATATTTGAATGACAACCTATACATCTTACTCCCCCCCCCCCTTTATAACGCGTCATCGTATCAATGTTTAATAACGCACAGTTTTATATATCCTTAAATACACAAAACGCTTTAAATGATTCAACGGATTTTGTTAACCATGTATGGAAGTAATTCGGTTCCAATTTTATCTGTCCATTATGTAACCATTTAGAAACAGGAACCGATACTACTGAAGGTGCGGCCGCATTTGCAAAATTAGAGTAATGTATTCCCAGTCTTGTCATGTCATGAAAGGTAAATTTTCATTGTAAAATAACTTATAGAAGTTCAGTAAATTGAATCTGTCTTAGAATTTATAGGTAAATAATAAAAGGGAACTTATGTTTTGAGGCGATGTATTTTGCTATATGCAGCCTGTGTAAGTATCAATTTTCCAAAGCTGCTCATTTTTTTAAAGAAAAGGAAGAATGAATATATGCTAAATTCAAAAAATATTCTTGCAGTGTTTAGTGCAATCTCAAATGCTACCTAGATGCAATCGGTGACTGTTACACGCAAGGCCAATTCTTCACGTTAAATCCAAATTTGTTGAAGGCGACCAGTAGAGCATTTTGCAACAATCAAACTGGTAAACGTATACATGTATTATTGTCCAATATATGTTTAGATTTCCAAATTCTATAATGTTGGTTGAATGTATTGTTTATTATCCCCCGCCGATTGAATCGGGAGGGGGGTGTAGTTTTGGCGTTGTCCGTCCGTCCTTCCGTCCGTCCGAATTTCGTTTCCGGAGTAGTTCTCTGCAACTACTGGATGGAATTCAACGAAACTTTATGGGAATCATCAATATCAAGAGGAGATGCGGATATCGTCAGCGTGTCCCGGTCAGACCCTTTACTCAGAGTTATTGCCCTTGATTAGTTATGCAGTATGCATATAGAGCAAAAATCGTTTCCGCACTTCTTCTCTGCAACTTCTGGCTGGAATTCAACAAACTTTTTTGGGAACCTTCAATACCAAGAGTAGATGCGCATATCGTCGCCTAGTCCCGGTCAGACACTTAAACTCAGAGTTATGATCATTGATTAGTTATGCAGTATGCTTATAGAGCAATAATCGTTTCCGCGTTACTTCTCTGCAACTACTGGCTGGAATTCAACGCAACTTTATGGGAATCTTCAATACCAAGAGGAGGTTAGTATATCGTCGGCTTGTTCCGGTCAGACACTTTAACTCAGAGTTATGGCCCTTGATTAGTTATGCAGTATGCATATGGAGTAAAAATCGTTTCCGCGCTACTTCTCTGCAACTACTGGCTGGAATTCAACGAAACTTTATGGGAATCTTTAATACCAAGAAGAGATGCGCATATCTTTGCCTTGTTCCGGTCAGAATTTTAACTCAGAGTTATGGCCCTTGATTAGTTATGCAGTATGCATATAGAGAAAAAATTGTTTCGCGCTACTTCTCTGCAACTTATGGCTGGAATTCAACGAAACATTTTAAGAACCTTCTATACCAAGAGGAGATGAGCATATCGTCGCCTTGTTCCGGTCAGACACTTAAACTCAGAGTTATGGCCCTTGATTAGTTATGCAGTATGCATATAGAGCAAAAATCTTTACCGCGCTACTTCTCTGCAACTACTGGCTGGAATTCAATGAAACTTTATGGGACCTTCAATACCAAGAGAAGATGCACATATCATTGCCTTGTTGGGGTCAGACACTTTAACTCAGAGTTATGGCCCTTGATTAGTTATGCAGTATCCATATAGAAAAATATTCGTTTCCTCGCTACTTCTCTGCAACTACTGGCTGGAATTCAATGAAACTTTATTGGAACCTTCAATACCAAGAGGAGATGCGCATATTGTCGCCTTGTTCGGGTCAGACATTTTAACTTAGAGTTATGACCCTTGATAACTTAGGCAGTATACAACCAGAGCAATAATCGTTTCCGTGCTACTTCTCTGTAACTACTGGCTGGAATTCAATGAAACTTTATGGGATACTAAGAGGAGATGTGCATATAGTCGCCTTGTTCTGGTCAGATACTTATAACTCAGATTTATGGCCCTTGATTAGTTATGTAGTATGCATACATCTCATTGGCATTTCCAGATATTACTATTTAACACAAATATGGCTCTGTTATTGCCCTGAATATTTATCAAGTTCAAAGAATATTACTGTTTATGCCATGATTAATATATAAATAAAGCCTTATGTCTTCAGTTGTTGTGTTAATAATAACCAGAACTCGGCGGGGGATATAAATTCAACGAATTTGCTTGTTAATATATAGTATTATAGTATATTCCAAGTTGAGTATTAAGAAGAGTTGTGGAAGATGTAATCAACTACCGATATAATAACAACTCAAACGTGATTTTTTATTATATTCACGTATTTGTTAATAAGTATAACTTTGTTAAAAATATGCGGCTAGATATATTTCTTATTTCAATGAAAAATGTAATATATATTCATACACATTTATTTAATTTCTATAACAAATTCATCAGTTTAATTAATAAATTCATTATAACTGTAGAGACTATTGCGGCTTTTATCAATTGCCAATAGACCGATACATCGTGTCTAACTAATCTGGCGACAGCTCTAACTTCTGCTTTAACGGAATACACTAATGCGAATTATGCGGCGTACAAGTCTCAGTACTGCAGGTAGGAAATCCAACATTTTTCTTAAAGGTCCATTATGCTTTCATTTTTTTCTCTCTCAAAAACTTATCAGTTTTGTTATCTTGTTAAAGCTTCCAAAAATTGTCATTGCCATACAGATAAATTATCTTTGATCCTTACGACACATAACTGCACATTCAGCGCTACTTTCTTCCGCTGTTAAATATCTTACATGCTCTAAATCCATTATTTTAAAACATTATTTAACGCATGCTTGACATTGTTAAGAAATTTAATACATATGGATTTCTGAGGCATAACGTGCCTTTAAAGGAATTCTTGTTACATTTTGTACATTAGATTAAACATACAATTGCAATATAAAGCCTATAAATTGGTCGCATCACGAATAATTACTGATTAAAGTATGTCATATGGCAACAAAGCATACATAAAATAAACAATTTTGAGTATGTGTCAATATGCCATATTGAAATAAAGTCTTTGAGAATTAACACATTACGAATTCTTCAATTTGACCAAGGAGATTTTTTTCTGTTTCCTTAGTCAGTACTTTATTACATACCTGTACATTTCTTGCTGTATTTAAATTGTGTATCACCCGGTATAAAGAAAATCCGGATTGTATGCGATTGTTATCTGGAATGATATATTGCTGACATTATAATTTAGCAATATGTATTTGTCTCTGACGAATCTCACTAGAACAAATTAATAAAATGTCCAGATATAAAAAATTAAATCATAAAAGATATATCTATGTAAATAGTGATATTCATCATACATATTCTTGCATATCAGACTGGCGTTTCCGTTAGTTTTACCCATGCCGGAAATTTCATCTGGCATGGGGGGTTCCAGATGAGTCGCGTGCTGTACAATTGCACGATAAAGATGACGTCATTTTACCGTTATGAATGATTTTGTAATTCATATGCTGTTGAATGAAAGTAGTTACGGTAGTAATGATATAAATTTTCATAGAAAATAAAGATAAATAATTAAAAATATAATGGAATATGGTAGAATATGCAAGAAAAAATATCTGACATATGTTTGCGAATCGGATCGGAATATCCGTCCCTCGGTCACCCGCCCATGGGCGGTAACTCGGCAAGCCTCGTTACCGCCCAATGGGCGGATCACCTCGGGACGGATATTCCGATCCGAACCGCAAAATATGACAGATATTATTATGATAACTCAAAATTGGAAACAATTGAAATATCTCTTTGATTTTAATTATCAGGCTAACCATTCTATTTCAGTGCAGTGACAACTGCAATTAGCTGCATTGGGTTCACAGTTACATCCAGCTGCACTGCCGCATTGGCAGATCTTGCCGATAATTTTTACAAGGCATCTTACAGCCTGACAGCTTGTGGAATACAATCGCATGCGTATCTTTCCTTGTATGGCGATGACGTCGCATGCAGTGGGCGTAACCTATACCAGAATGCTGCGTTATGGCTTGCACTTTTGTGCATCTTTGTAGGAAAAATGCTGTTACTGTAGATATCTACATGTAATTTGAAAAGTAAGCTGTGAAGTTATGTATTATGCACCTAATATGCATGTTCACTTAGTCCTTAACTAAATAACTAAATATGACAAACTTCGCAATTAACAAGGGTTTTAATTATGACTTATTCTTTGATGTAAGAAATCAGACTTAAAATGCTATGTTTTATATTTTTTCTTTTCATATTTTAGGCAATTGTTGCAGTTGTTTTATGTCATTTTTTTGTTATCAATAATTGGTCAATGACTATAATAGTCCAGCTTTTTTTGTTAAATACAAAGCAAATATAGTGCAAAAGAAGAAGATAATGTCATTTTAATAATTTATTTCATGCCAAACAAATGATTTGAAATTTCTTGAAATTTAAGGCGATAAAAACATTGTAATAGCTTTTGTTTGTATAAAAGATATACTTTTTTCTATATGAAAGACTTTTTGTGACAATCGTTTGACGAAACTTTATTAACCACACTGGTGTATATTGTTACTGAAGTTAACAAGCTTTGAATATACTTATTGGATGTAACAATGTGTTTGTTTGTCTTAGCTATTTTATTCAGTGATTAGAAAGGCGAAAAGTCCGGGCATCTTATTGACATCCTGTATCAAAGTTCTGATTATGAGAAATCCTTTGTGGTCCCATTGGATGGAATAATAATTTACACAGTTTTAACAGTCATGTAAAGGTACAGAGTTGGGCACCACATTAGAATTATTTCTTTTTGAAGTACATTATACATGCGTCTACACAAAACACCAGTGACATTGACAGCACTGTACAATTATGAACAGAAATTGGCACACAGGAAGTAACTTAGACACAATCGCCACCCCACATACTTATCTTTAACCATCGGGTAAAATAGGCTTCAAAATGTTTAAGAATGAAAGTGGATCTACCAAAAGATTAAAACTACCAGCAAGAGAAGCATAAACACAATAATGATGTCTTGCTGAACCATCTTCGAAGATATGAAAAATTAGATAAGTAACATCTTGAATTGAATGTACTTGGATATCTTTTACGAGCAACAAAATGGTGTTATCAAATAGAAGTTACAATAACTTAAAAAAAAGACAAAGAGCTATTCAAGAAAGGGATTCGGAGTGTGTCGCGGATTTGTGACTTGTGTGATTTGCGAATATAGTTTTTAATCAAATTGTCATCGATAATATGTGCCCATCTGAAATGTTACAGTTGCATTCCAATTACTCCATAAAACAATGTAATCAGTGACATATTATATATTTGTTATAATGTTCTATATATATAGTGCAATTCTTTTTAATAAATAAATATATCACCGTCTGTGCTTAAAATTCTCATACGACTTTAAACGTTTTCTGTTTTAATGAGAGCAGCAATAAAACAAACTTGGTCAAAGCACAGGCACCAGACACAATTATTTTACCCATATACGCTCATAATACTATATATAAAGAATAAAGGCCCCCAACGAGAGAAAACTATCATGCAAAACAAACAAAAACTGTTCTGTAAAAATACACCAGATCACTATTTTGTCTTTGTGGTCGACTCAAGGGATGATTATTCCTATCATAAACACTTTTTACTTCATCGAAATCCCTCAAAATGCTCCAAAATACGAGCAAGTTTCCAAATTTCACTGAAATGTCATTGCATGTCGTTTCCGACGTCCAAGCGATGCGTTGAACAAAGGTGAATTCTGGTCAATTTCTACAAAATCAACGAATAACTGTTAAAATTTTCACATACTTTCTTTAAAACATCTTGTTTACAGTCAAACTGCGAAGTCTTTACTTCTCAACTGCCCGATGATAACGCCGACAAGCTAAAAAAAATAAATTTATTGACAGCTCCGTTCCAGAAAGTAACCATTTCCTACTTTACCGCACTGAATATAACGTCAAGTAACGATTGGTTAAGCGGGAAATCCGAGTTCTTCCGATTTTGCGCTAACCAATCGTTACTTGACGTTATATTCAGTGCGGTAAAGTAGGAAATGGTTACTTTCTGGTACGGAGCTCTCAATATTTTTTATTTTTTCAGCTTGTTGGCGTTATCACCGGGCAGTTGAGAAGTAAAGACTTCGCAGTTTGACTGTAAACAAGATGTTTTAAAGAAAGTATGTGAAAATTTTAACAGTTATTCGTTGATTTTGTAGAAATTGACCAGAATTCACCTTTGTTTACACGCATCGCTTGGACGTCGGAAACGACATGCAATGACATTTCAGTGAAATTTGGAAACTTGCTCGTATTTTGGAGCATTTTGAGGGATTTCGATGAAGTAAAAAGTGTTTATGATAGGAATAATCATCCCTTGAGTCGACCACAAAGACAGAATAGTGATCTGGTGTATTTTTACAGAACAGTTTTTGTTTGTTTTGCATGATAGTTTTCTCTCGTTGGGGGCCTTTATTCTTTATATATAGTATTATGAGCGTATATGGGTAAAATAATTGTGTCTGGTGCCTGTGGGTCAAAGTATGCGTACATGTATAAGCAATTAAACACCTTTTCAGATAAACTTACTTTTAAAAATCTCTCAAATACGCCCATATCATGAATCATGATTCATCGTCATGAATGCCACTATTTAAGGATGATTACAACGTTTTGAATACCAAAAATCTCATGTTTAAATTTGTCAACATGAATAGATTTAAAGACAGTGTTCAACTTAACTTGCATTTGCATGCCATTTTTATAAGCATGTACATGTTTTATGATTCATTCCATAAATAGCACGATGAACGGTTGTGTCTTTTTTGAAAGAATAGCTTATTAATAATTATGGAAAATAAAATTAAAGAAATTCCATTTGGGTCAAAAGCCTAAAACATAAAAAATGTTTTTTTTACCTGATATAAGTTAAACGCGTTGAACGCTTTTCATTTTCAGGTCATTCTGCACAATGATTATGATAATTATAGAAAAAACGGAGGGGACTATAAAATAATCTGAAATTTTGGACACAAGTTATTGGTCTTGACAAATATTGAATGATACCTAAAACTCTTAAAAAGGTATTTATAAAGGTCATATTTTTAAAGCTCCTAAGGGACAAAAATGCTTTAGTCAAGTTTTCAATTTCTTTTTCCATTAAAAAAAATTTGGGGTTTAAAAATTTTAGGGGTTTCCACTTAAATTTTTAAAGGGTTTCCCACCTGTGCTCTTTCAAACTTTAAAAAAGGAAAAATTTAAGGAAAAACTTTTAAAAAAAAAATGATGACAGCAAACTTTTGGGCCCGTTAAAACAAAGACCCCCAATTTTTACAAATTCCCAATAAAAAAATTTGAAAAACAACAACAACGCCCGTCGGGAAAAAACAAAACATGAAAAAAACCAGACAAAACAATTTAACACAAAATTTTTTAAAATTTTTTAAAATTCAAAAACCCGATTTTTCCCTTTTAAAAAATCACATTGAGATTTCGGGTTTAAAAATTTAAAAAAATGAAAAAATTAAAATGATATGTATATTTTATGATTTGGGGCCCTTTAAGAAAACAATTTAAAAAAAAATTTTAAAAAAATATAATAACAAAAGACTGTTTTAAAAGATCTTATGTTGAGCAAAAATGAAGGTGAATTTTTTCATCAATTTTTTTTCATCTGATAAAAAAAATAAAAAAAAGAAAATCCCCCTTACCCATGAATGCATATTAAAGGGATAAAAACACATTTTAAATCTCTTATTTTTTGGGAAACATTTGAAAGAATTTTTTTCTTGGGGCTTTATTTTAAATTATTTTTTGTAACCTTAAATTGTAGCCCCTATAATTTTTAAATTTATATAGACATGATTCTTTTTAAACTTAAACAAACACAGGTTTTTGGGAGGGGTTTACATTGAAATTAAAATAAACGGGGAAAAGGGTTTTAAAACTCTTCTTTTTTAAATCAATTTTTTAAATTTTTTTAATTTTCAATGAAATTTTTCCCCTTTCCCCTTTTTTAAAAAAATATTTTTTTTGCTATTTTTAACTTAATTTTATCATTATACTAGAGGTGTCTCCTCTTTCCAAGATTTTTGTTTAATCCTTTTTATATTTAAAATATATCGTTGAAATAAATCGTTTTGCACTTCAATAAAGATATATATGCAGTTAAAATTACATCTCTTATTTGAAAACATATTATTGTTCTTTAAATGTTCAAGCGAACATTGAAAACAACATACCTTCTTTGCCAACATTATTGTAAACAAGAGTTGTACAATGGTTATATATATATTATTTATGCAAACAATTATAAAAATATAATTAAAAAAGGCCAATGACTGATTTGTTGAATGATTAAGAAAAACGCTAATGATTAAGACAAACGAATTAACCTACAAACTTTATATAAATCCGACCTATAGAATAAGATCAAAAACAGTTCATGCATGTTTCATTATATACTAAACATGAAAGAATCATAATTTTTACACAGAGAGAAAATGCTGATTATAATACCATACCATACCATACCATACCATACCATACCATACCATACCATACCATACCAATACCAATACCAATACCATACCATACCAATACCATACCATACCCGACTGTAAAAGATGTCAAAATACTAGTGGGAATTGTTACAGCAGTTTAACCTTTACTTCAATGATAAGGTCGCATATATCTGTAAGGAAAGGATGTCATTTATTTTTTTAACACGCTTCAATAAATTTGATCCTCGGATAAACATTACACTTAAATATATGTACATACCTTTTAAATAATTTACATGGAAAAAATGTGTCTTTAAAAGCAAAGGATTTCGCAAAGATTAGTTAAAGATTTTGGTTTAAACATATATTGTTCAAATAATATACATGTATGTAAATAATTTACAACACTTAATGCTCAAAGGAATCGCACGGAGAGGTATAGAGAGATCAAAAATATTATACATTACATGTATAACAGCGACATGCATGCAAACTTTAAACAGAAAGATGATCAATATATGGTTTTAAAACAACATATTGAATAACTGCCTTTGTAAGAATGTGTGAAAGAACTATAACATCTGTGCTCAGTTTCCTTGTAGGATAATCATTTAAGTTAACATTTGATACATGTTATTTTCAGTGTTAGAGTTTAAATCCGTGATAGTACTATTAAAGGTAACTAAAACGTATAATTTTTAACCATATGCAATACTTTCTGTACTTATACATTTAATACAAATTCAGCATGCGTTTATCTAAGCTGAATGTGAATGAAATATACATTTGTATGTTTTATGGAACATTATTTTTCTTGTCATCTTTCAACTGGCTTCAAAATGAAACGAAGAATGTAATTGGAAAGGGGCAATAGTGTTTATAAACAGTGTTATGTTTGTGTGTTTCAGTATGGATTACTTCAAGTATGAAAACAATACGTGTAAATTCAGATGACCTAAATAAAGAACAAAAATCGAAAACAGTTTTTGACTATATTCAAAGAAAAACAGCTAGCAATGGCTCAGAAGTAATTACAAATACGTACAATAGGGGTATGAAAAAAGACCAGGCCCGATTTCACAAAATTACCTAACGGCATGTTGCGTATTGCGCGTGATAAGAATGCAAAACAAGTTTTTCTCAAGCGTTAAACAATTACTGGGTAAGACACGACCAGGTTATTATCACGAATTAAATAGCGACAAATTAACGGTTGACGAATTACTGGCTGCTAGGTCACCAAAGAACGTACGTGGAAAGTGGAAATGGACAAATTAAATAGAGAAAAAGTAGCGGCAGACGACCCAAGACTTGTTGAAGCTGATACGTCAGTATTTCATTAAACCGCCATTCAAATCTACCATACAACCTTCGTCATATGAACACGATAGATACGTCAATGGGACAAGCCGCTATCGTCGATAATAGACTTGGATTCAAAGTAAGTTTGAAATGCGTATAAACTAAGTACTTGTTTGTTTTCAAGAGTACATGTAAGCCATATCGTTACATTAACCAGTGCAGTAACGGGGTTTACTCCTTCTGAATTAATTATCGGTTTTAGCTATGTCAAAGAAGATGGTTGTACATTT